GTATTGCACATTTTGTTTACAGTTAGTTTGAACTAAATCATAAATCCAAGCCAAAGCCTTGGAAGTTCTAAATTTGAAGTTCATTTTGAAGTTTTCAGAAAAATATATGTAACTGCTGACTTGTGCTGTCTTAGTTTTTGTCTCAAAATGCAAAACCCATAGTTTGTCTGAAAAGGATGTGTCTAATCTTTTCAAGGTAGAATAATAGTAGATTTTGAAATATTTCAATATAGATAATATATAAGAATATTAAGTTACAATAATAACTTAACTACATATCCTAAAGCAAAGCCATGACAAAAATAGATCTTTTATTCACAAAGTAATAGTAATATTATTAATGAAATTACCATCTACAACAGTTCACTTCTCTCAGTAATTAGTAAAATCACACATTTAATCAGTTGTTAAATAGATATTTTAAATTGTATTTGAACCATTTAGTGGTTGTGATCATGACAAGACAGATAAATAAGTATCTAAAATATGGGCAATCTAGTACAACCTGTTGGCCCTTCATAAAATCTCTATTGACCAGGCTCATGATCCAACAGTAGGATGGAAATCTACCAAACAAAAAATATTAACTTGCCCATGACGAACTAGTTTGTCAGTAAAGTGGAGATGTTTTGGGGTTTTGGTTTGGTTTGGTTTTTGTTTTTTTTTTTTCCCACTAGATAAAAACCTCTGAGTTCAAAATGTTAAAATGAACCATGGTTTATTCTGGGAAGGTTCCATTCACACATCATGCAGGAATAATCTGTAAGATAAAGCTGACTAAAATTCTGCAGTGGTTACTGAATCTAAACTAAGATCTTATTTTGTGTAAGTGAAAAGATAAATTACTTCAAGTGTACTAGACTGTCAGGTAAGTACATAGTTAAATACATCAGTAAACAGATAGTTAGACACTTGGCTGTGAAAGACATTTTGTTAATAATTGCCTGCACTTGAATTAAAAAGTAATGATTTTTAGTCTCAGTTACAGTTGTGCCTTCCGTTGTAGCTCTTCCTCTGTGCAAATAGAACAGTTCTTCACAGAACGCTAAAAAAGACAACATAACACATTGTCAGATGACACAGCACATAGAAGTATCTTAAAGAAAACCTTGAAAAAAAAAGAGAGTTTGACTACAGTTCAATATCAGGAATGGTTTCAGAGAGTCTGAATGGAGAAGGAAGTACAACTTGCCAAAAATAAACCTATTTTCAGAGCTTTCTCAAATACAGAGTCTTTGGGTAAAAGGAACAAAAATGAGTATCAACAGTAGCAGGCATATCAGTCTTTCATCTCAATGTTGTTCTCAGTCAGTTTTGTCTGATGTAGGATCATCATGAAGAAATATCCTGACTGCAAAAAGTTGCAATGAATTGTCAGTACAGTGGAAATAGCTTATGTCTCTGAGGGCAAAAGCAAGAAGAACATAATGACATTTAATATTATTATATAGTAAAAGACATGTTGCAGGACTAATTATAAGACTACCAGGATGATGCTTAGTTTTAATTAGTCCTGTGAGGAGCAGGGAGTTGGACTTGATCCCTTCTAACTCAAGATATCTTGTAACTCCACAGTAACTCTTGTCTCATTAACTTGGAGGTGTCACTGGAGGAGAATAATCTGGGTATATTAGTCAATCATGGATGAATCACCAGCATGATGTAAATCTGGGGAGAGGAGGGGAGAAGAAAAAAAGGTCACTAGAAAAGGTGGTGATAAAATCTCACCTAAACTGTAGTTAGGTTTCTCGTCATCCATGGTGAGGGAAGATAAATTTAAATTATAAAATGTGTTTTCCATGTGTAGAAATTATCAGGAGAAAAAAAAAACAAAAAACAACAACAAAAAAAATAACAACCAACCAGCAAGAAACAAACAAATGAACAAAAAAAATAGCCCCAAATTGTGATGTAGAGGTGAATAAATTTAGGCACATGTTGCATGTGATTTTTGACATAGCAGTCAAACTTCTGTTAAAAATTCTTTGCCTAATACCAGAAAACTGGTGGGGTGTTGCCATAGTGATGTCTGCATTTTATTTTTTTCTTTTTTTTTGGCTTTACTTTCTTAATAAAGGTGAATAAATGCTGGAAACATAGCTGCAAAGTGGTCAGTTAACAGGGTCGCAGTGCTGCCTAACAAATTTGAGGTGAAATTAAGGCTGCATTTAGATTTTAAAAGCCTGTGACAGTTTTCTTTTACAGTTTCTTTCCTCACTGTTTTAGACAGAGTGATGTCTTCCTTAATGTTAATTTCCTGTCTTCCTGGGGGATGTGTAGGATCCCCTGCCAAGTATACTGAAGATATGCAAGGGCAATTCCTACTTTAAAAGAAACTGCTGGAGCATTTCGTATTATCGTATCAGAAAAGGCAACCAAGAAAGTTCCCCTTACACCTTTTGTGCTCAATAGAGAACTTTGGCATGATGTATGATTTTAACAGTATACTGCCAGTGCAGTTTGTGGAACTGCTAGTGACAAGGATAGATTACGAGGGTCCGTGTCATAGTTACATATCTTATACTGATGATCTAATTTTAGGATGTATGTATGTATCTCCTGTCCTTCAGCACAAAGTCAGCTTATCCTACTTTAAACTTTGGTTACAGGTTTTTTGAATTAAAAACCTGCCCATTTTCATTTGTTTTGTTATCACAAAAGAAGAATCTGATGCAAGTGGGAGAGATCAAATGATTAGTCTTCCACAAATCCTTAGTAACTGTCTGAGCATTGATTCAGTACCATACCACTTGAAGCAAAAAGGAAGAGGAAAGTGATTCTAATTCAGGGTTTTCCCCTTGTTTAAATTAGTTTAAAAATGTGACTAGTGTATTTATAGGATTGTACAGAAGACAGATATTCCACAATGCAAAATTTGATGTGTTTCAAATTGAAATGGAAAGGTTTTTCTTTTAAGTCCCATACTCCCTCCATACATTTACATAAACAAAATATTCCAACAAATTTGGTTTTGTGTGAAAAACAAAAACAATTTATTTGAAAAGTGTTAAAGCAGGCCATTTTCAATTTGAATACTTTTTTACCTTCCCATTTCCTAAAATGAATTTTTGGAACACTAGTACCAGATTTTGTGGACCATATTTTGATGAAACTGCATTTAGACAAATGTCATCATAGCTTTCTGTTACAGTATGTATACATTGTAGTAATTTCAATGCATCACGGTGAAAATTGGGGGGGGGAGTTCTGTTCCTAACTGTATCATTTAAAAGAAAAAAACACTGATGAACTAAAGCAGGCCAATATACTATTTTTAGGCAGTTTGTCCAGAATTCATGCTTCTGATCAAAAGGAACTTACAATGGAAAACTGTGTTAAAATCATTCTGAACCTCCATGGATATTTTAAAACACTGTTCTTTGTGGATAATTCTAGTTATATGTGTGTGATTTGTTTTCACAATAGAACAGAAACAATGGTATAAGCTACTTGAAAATGTCCATTTTGCATGTAATAACAGCTAAATGGCTTAACTGAAGATTTGCAAAGAAAGTAATTTTAAAGTAAAAGAAAAATAGTGTTCTGGAAATCACTTTTCGTGTGATCTAAGGTTGTGGGAATCAAAAACCTTGAAAACCTTGAGAATCATGCTGTACAGCAGGCTGTCTAGAAGAGCAAGGCTTTTAAATTGCTTTGTGTTAATGGCTATTGTATGTTTAATATTTACGCAGAAGCAACAACCACTCGTGCTGTGGAATATGTTATTACTAGTTATAACAGGCACTTGGCTTAAGAGTCCAAAACCAAGTTATGCTAAAGTCTTAGGTTTTTTTTTTAATTCAATGTTAATAGCTTTGGCATGTCACATATTTATTTACTTCTATGTAACTCACTCCAGTCTGTCAATATCCTTTGTGTAAGACATAGATACTCACTATACTGGTGATCCCACAACTGGACCCAGCATTCCAGATGTGGCCTTGTTAATGGTGAGCAGAGAAGGATGTCCTCTTGACCCACTAGCAAGACTTTTCATAATGTGGCCTGGGATGGTGTTGGCCTTGTTTGATGCAAGGGCACTTTGTCAGCTGATGTCCAACTTGAAGACCCCATAGGTCCTTTTCTGAAAAGCTGCTTCCCAGCTCCTCTGTCTGCAGCACTTACTGGTTCCCTAGCACATGACTTGATGTTTCCCTTTATTGAACTCCATGAGGTTTCAGTCGGACTGTGATCAGAGAAAATAGCTGGGCCTAATTTACAGGCATCATCATAAATAAAAAATGCCCCATAACTGAAACTGAGCCCACAGAGTTGATTGTTCCTCCTTTGTTGTAATCTTTGCTTCTGCAAGTGTAATTGCTTACATGCTAAAAACAATTAATAGAATTTTAGGATCACTTAGTTTTGGTTTTCTCTTTATACTATAATAAAAACAAGAATAGCTTATCTTCCACTTTACAGACAAGTATTAGGTAAGTTACACTTATGAACATAAATGTATATGATTGATGTATCAAATAAGAAAGTGTAGTTTCTTTGAGACTTGTCAAATAAGAAAGTTTAGGTTTCGGGTAGTTTTAATAGGTAAGTTATATTTTAATCTAGAAATTAACTTCTTTTAAAAGGGAATTTGTGTCTTCTTCAGTGGGCTAAGAGGTCCCATTAATGTTAAGTAGCTATTTAATCAGTTATAATGTATGAGAAAACACTGAAAGTTTGGAAATGTACATTCTTGTTAGGAATGTTATATTTGGATTAATCATATTATTTTAGTTGGCTTAACATATGATTTTAATTTCTTCATATTCTCAGTCGATTGGTTTTGGGTTTTTTTTTTATATACACACATATTTACATATATTTATGTAAGACACAAACAACTAAACTGGCTTACTTAGATTTTAGAAAAGCTTTGTACTTCCAGAAAATCCACCATGATCCACTTTCCCTGAAAAGAAAGGTTATTCACAGATTTTCCCCTTGTTCCGACAAGCAAACCCTGATCTTTCTTTTGTTTGTTTGTTTTCTTTCCATCACAGGAGTGATCAGGACTGCCTTGCACAACATGGACAGGGAAGCCAGAGAGCATTATTCTGTTGTCATTCAAGCCAAAGATATGGCTGGGCAGGTCGGAGGGCTATCGGGTTCAACAACTGTAAATATCACACTCACTGATGTCAACGACAATCCACCCAGGTTTCCTCAGAGTATGTACAATTTCAGCATATATAAATGATTTGAAAATCATGTTGATTTTTCAGTGAAATAAGAAGCTGTTTGTGAAATACAATTAGTATTCAAATTCATGGGGAGAAGGCAGCTTGGGAAGTGTTTGTGTTCACCAATATTTTTCAGTTTTTCAGTGTTTTCAGATGAAACACAAAGATGGCACAGCTAGAATATTGAAACCAGTGAAGATTTTTTTCAATTAAACAATGTGTAACAGATGGGTGACAAAGGAATACTCTTGTCATATGTGAGTTATTCTGCAGTCCTTTTTGAACGTATATTTCAACAAGTGTGTGATTCTGATCACACAATTAAATGACATTGTTCCCATTGTTCCCTGTAGACAACAACAAAAGGTAACATGTTAAAAAATTTAATCTAGCGCAACATGACTTTGGCTGCTTCCATACATATCTGTTTGGGGTTTGTTTTGTTTCTTTCTCTATACTTTACAGATGGTCAAAACCTAAGCTGTTTCTCACAGTTGTTGAGCTGTGCACAAGTCTGCCTATATCCTAGATAAACGAATTGCTGATTTTGATGTCAAACTGAATGTTCTCACATGCATATATGAAAAATATTTGCTGGGATAATTTTAGAATATCCTAATATGACCACTACTAGGAACTTCATTTCTGTCCAGCTCACTGGGTGCACATTGATTTGACACAGCAGCTGGAGTCTTATAGCAAGTCTGAATTCAGCTGACAATTTATTTAAAAGTCTTCTGTAATGTAATTGTATTTTTCTTTGTAGATTGGCTCAAGGCCAATAACAATATTATAATCTGGACTCATACATTGCATGAGCCCTTGTAGAACATAATGAACTGGTAGCTATAGGTACATCCCCCAAGAAATGCATTGCACTGTTTGAATGAGAAGATTTATAAGCAATAACAGAGACCACAAAGCTCCAGGGAAAAAAAAAAATATCTCCCTGGCAATAGACATTATGTAAAATCTAGACAAGCTGCAAGAAGGCTCATTAAAAGTTTTATAGAAATGAATATTTTCTCTGTTCCTCACCAAGACATAAAAAACAAAGCCCTTGAAACACAGCCTTAAATAAAGTATATTTGGTTTTATGTTCCACAGAATTGTCATTGCATCCATCACTATATAATACTTCCTAAGTATTGGAAAGGCAAAAGGTAAGGCATATCTTTGAACAAATACAGCATCTGAAATAGTTAAAATAGAAAAAGTATCCTATGTTTCTTGCAAACTCAGCGACAAATGGATCCCTAAATATCAGTTTTCATGAACTGGCCTCTTTTATTCTGAATTGGAAAGTTTGGATATTAAAATGACTGTCAGGCAGAAACATACATTGGCACAACTCTATTAATATTTTTTTCAAAAATGGAAGAAATGTAAAATTCTAAAGTTGCGTTCTATACATTTGAAGGATTCTAATAGTTGCAAAAATTAACATTGAAAAGTACAAAACATCATTTCACATTTAATGAATACTCATTTAACAAAGCAAAATTAAAAAGATGTATTTTAGCATGTATCATTTTAACAGAAACTATTCCTCCTAGAAAAAAACCTGTAGAGTACAAACATTTGCTTTATCTTTCCTTACATAGAATTTCTATGCCAAAGTTATGACTGTAACATTGCTTTTTTACTCCTTCTTAATGAGTATAATTAAACACTTTGTAAAGGAATGGTAGCTATATGTTAGTAATACAGAACAGAAGTGTAGATGATCTAAAATAGGCCACATTAGCATCATGAAGTAATATAATAATGTGAGAGTATTACAGTAATAGAAATAACTTCATTGTTTATTTTTCTTTTACTTTTATGCCATGACTTTCAGTTAAATTTCTCTTCAATTTCCTTATTAGACGGAATGCTAAATGAGACTTACTGAGGCTTGTCACATTCAGAATTGAATTCAAGGGAAGTGCTAACCAAAACTGCATATATCAAGTGTATAACCCTTGGGACAGGCTGAGCCTCAGCCAAACTGCAGACTTTCTTTTGGTTAGTTACCTTTTCTCCGTTACCATAATTGCAAGTTTTGAATCTGACTCTAAGTCTATGAGTACTTGACTTGAGAACATGCTGGGAAACACATCTGATTGATGCTTTTATTATTTTTTTCATTTAGAAATATGCTTTATTGTATATATTTAGAAGATCATAGTGTTCTGGCTTTGCTTGATCAGTGTTCATTAGATACACATACAGAGTGAGGATTTGTCCCCCTTAAAGACTCTTCAAAAACCTACTTAAAACTTAGAGGTTTTAAATATATCTGTGTAAATGAACTAACTGTGGGTATTTTTTCTGTACTCATTCTTAATGCAGGTGACTTTCAAAGAAATTATCAACAGAACTACACTTTTCCAAACTATCACAAACTTTAGGAGGAAGGATACGAAACATTACTGCATAATTTTATCACTCTGATGGTGGAAGTTCTGAAATGCATAGAATCATAGAATAATCTCTGGAATAGAAAACAGCTGAAAAATTCTGCTTGCAAAACACTTAGAAGTCCAAAGGAGTTGTGAATTCAGCAGGAGAATAACCTGAAACCTCAAATACATTTTGCTTATCAATTACTTAAGTGCATCTTGTACAATACAGATTTTTTTCATCAGTGCAAATTTCCTTTCTTTGGAGAGTCAAGTTATAAATGAACTATCTTTTTAAAGTGAGCTGACAGACAATGCTCAGCCTGGGAAGGTTTTTGCTTTTCAGTAATCGGCATCTCTCAGTTTGTGTTAGTTTTATCACTGATGGAACTACTTTGCTGATGGCTGAGGGCCCTAATATCATTCTCATAAATGTAGTTCAGTAATCTGATAGAAGATGTTCTATCTGCTGATGACACTTTTATCAGCCTTGAGTTACATCAGAATTTTCTGTATAGTTTTCTTCCATTAGTTCTATTTGGTCTTGTTTAAAATGAATAGATTCTGCAGGTTTTACTTTATTGATGAATAGATTCTGATTGCATCAAGAGCATCACACTAGGCAGAAGCTTCCACTGACATGTTTTAAACATCAAGTGCTACAATCTGGACAGCGTGTAGAAGATCTTTAGTTATTGTGTGTAGGGTCTAATTTTACAAGGAGATGATTTCCCTGATACTCCATTAGTAGATTTTAGTATTTGATACATCTCAGTTCTTCAGAATAAAGCAGAACTTAAATACAAGTCATAGTTTAAAGCATTCTTTATACAGCTTGGTTGTTGAGGCTTGGTTGTTTCATGGCAGTATGTAGACTGCCATATATATAGTACATAGTATATAACAAGTTTGCCAATGACACCAAGCTGTGTGGTTCAGTTGATACACTGGAGGGAAGGAATGCCATCCAGAGGAACCTTGACACGCTTGTGAAGTGGGCTGATGCCAACCTCATGAAGTTTAACCGTGCCACGTGCAAGGTCCTACACATGGGTTGGAACAATCCCAGGCACAGCTACAGGTTGAGAAGAGAAGAGATTTAGAGCAGCCCTGCAGAGAAGGACTTTGGGGTGTTGGTCGATGAGAAAATGAACATGAGCCAGCTGCAGTGTGTGCTTTCAGCCCAGAAAGACAACTGCATCCTGGGCTGCATCAAAAGGAGCGTGACCAGCAGGTCAAAGGAGGTGATCCTGCCCCTCTACTCTGCTCTCGTGAGACCTCACTTGGAGTGTTGTGTACAGTTTTGGTGTTCTCAACATAAAAAGGGTGTGGAACTGTTGGAACAAGTCCACAGGAGGGCCACAAGGATGATCAGGGGACTGGAGCACCTCCCATATGAAGATAGGCTGAGAAAGTTGGGGCTGTTCAGCCTGGAGAAGAGAAGGCTGCGTGGAGACCTCATAGCAGCCTTCCAGTATCTGAAGGGGGCCTATAGGGATGCTGGGGATGGACTCTTCATTAGGGACTGTAGTGACAGGACAAGGGGTAATGGGTTTGAACTTAAACAGTGGAAGTTTAGACTGGATATAAGGAGGAAGTTCTTTACTGTCAGGGTAGTGAGGAACTGGAATGGCTTGCTCAAGGAAGTTGTGAATACTTCATCCCTGGTGGTGTTCAAGGCCAGGTTGGACAGAGCCTTGGGTGACATAGTTTAGTGTGAGGTGTCCCTGGCCATGGCAGGGGGTTTGGGACTAGATGATCTTAAGGTCTTTTGCAACCCTAACTATTTTATGATTCTATGATAGACGAAGTGTGAAATTATGTATATTCATAATTAGTTTGGCCTCACTTTTTACAATGTCGTTGCATGAAAGTACACAGACATTTTTAAATATGAATGTTGTGTAGGGGTATTCCAGTTAACTCTGAAAATATAAGTTCACAACCCAGAAGCAGTCATTAGCTCTGTTCTGTGCCAGTGAGTTTACTCTCCAGTCTTGTTCATATAACTCATTAGCTAATTTAGTGCAAAAGTATTTGCAGTTCATTTTCTGTCAGAATTTGTACTCCAGTAAGGTCCTTTTTGTGTTCCCAGTCTGACATAATACATCTAGTTCCTATGATTTCCATACATAATGGTGAACATCTCACTCCCTACTGCCATGCGCTATAAACCTATCCGATCTTCCTGCGGTGACTAGTTCACAGCTGTCTGCCTACTGATGGATCACTTGGCTGCTGCCAAATGAGATGAAAGTGGAAATTTCACTGATTTTCTTTTAGCAGGTCTTTCTCTTCTATTCAACCAATAATTGCTACGAGGCTTGTAGAATCATGTCTTTGAGGCCTTTGCCTTTTTCTTAGATTTGCCTGAAATCAGTCAGGGGTTAAAAGTTACTGGAAACTATTGAATTAAAATTATTACTGAAATTGTGTATCCTCAGGAAACAAATTTAAAATAAAACAGGAAAAAGTCATGATAACTGATTTGGATTAAGATTGCTAACATCTGATTAACTGCCCCTTTGTAAATCAGATTTTGTTCATACTTAGTAACCTTATTTCCTATTTACTGTGGTGTGATGATGAGTCCAGCAATGGCCC